AAATATTTTTTACTTGAAATATTTGACGATTCGGAATTTCAAGAACTGGAACTTTACGTAAAATACATTCTAGACGATGAGCCTGAAATATTTGAAACATTAATGATATTCCTGATGAAGGTTTATAGTATAGAACACTTACGTTGGAAGATAGAACACCGTCTTCTAATGTAACGACCAGAATAATTACGCAGCAGATTAACATGTGAAGATACATAATACTATTAAAATTCGAATATTCTGCAACAAGAATATTACAGAAAAGCAAAAATATCGTCGGAATGATGGCAGAATATACACAGAAAATGTATAACTGAAAGAATTCATCGGCTGCCTCTATCATCTGTAGACATTTTAAATGGTGTTTCTGCACAGATTTAAGCAGGTGGATCATTTCTGTATGATCGAAGAGAAATTTGAATTGCTGATTGGCTTCGTTCACTTTCTTTCTTATTATGGCAGTTACAAACACGTAATAATAAATTGCAATTTGGATTATCACGCTTATCAAAATAATGTATATTACGAAAATTACGAGGAATGCAACATTAAACAATGAATTGTGTTGATATTTAAAATATATTATTTTTTTCTGATTTTTGAAAACAAAATCGCGTGCAACTGCAATGTTAACTGGTAGAGAGATTACGAAAAGAAGAAGCCATTCCAGCTTTTTAATATAAGAATATTCAGAATGGAAGGTAGGATTGATGCAATAAACGGTTTCAAACATTAGTTGCGTCAAGACATTCTCTAATTTGCATACGGCATCCTCATCATCATCATATCATATCATAACTCACAGAGGAGTATACGGCATCCTTTCTGTTGTAAATGAGTAATTTGAACAGAGCAAAAACAGTATAATATAACCGTACTATGTTATAAATTTCTGTATTTATGATGTCAAACAAGTCTTTGTAATCATTAAATTTCTCGATTATGTTAGTTATTAAATACACTGATAACAGGAATATATCGACAGTAACTGCCCATAGAAAACCGATTTTAATACATCTTAATCTATCACCGTCATCACAAATGAAGTAGAGAAATCTCATTACTCTGCGAGTATTTTTAATTATGCATCTGAAACAAACGTAGTTAACTATTCCCGAATAGTTTGGATGGCATTCGAGGCATTGAGTTGTCTGCATTTTTTTGGTAAATGTTTTAATTGTTAATAGAAAATATATACATTTGAAATGGTAATCGAACGCAGTAAAAAAGAAATACATGCAGATTCAGTTTCAATTTTAAAGATTTTTCAAAATTAAATATTGTTAATAATGTTAATATTCGAGTCATTTTGAGATATCGAACGTACAACTCCCAGATTCAAATAAATAGTGTTTAAACGCAGTAAACTCTCTCTTATAGAACAGTTAGGTAAAAGCTTGAGTGACTACGTCACATTCGTGATTGAAACCCCTAATAACCTAATTAGCACGTAGAGCAATTTACTGTAATTTATAGACATAACTTTCTCTTAATGGATAGGTTATGGATTGACTGTCTTTTAGCTGAAGAATTTCCATTTGTCGGCAAACAACCGAAAAAGGAAATTTGAAAATTTATTGTTTTAAGGTTACTTTTATTAATTAAATTGGAAGAAGTCGATTATAAATTTCACAGGCGTTTTAATTCGAAATTGATTTATGTTTTAATCGATAATTGATTACCACTTTTATTCTAGATTTTTATTAGAATTAATTTAAGTATCATGCATTTTATCTAAATTTCTTAAAGTTTCGAAATTCTTTACTAATGTAAACAAAGTAAGTTAATATAATGACCACATTTACTATAATTGATCAGAAATGATTATAACACGTGGAAATGCAAAATGACAGGTTCGAACTTTTTCAACACTTTAAATACAAAATTTAATTTAAAAATTTTTTTGCACGCAATTCAGATTCAAGATCATGTCCTTATGATTTCAATTCGCCTGCTTTGAGAAATTAGCAAAATGTTAATGATTTTGTTAACGATGCCGCTACGTTATAAAATTAGCATTTAGTTCTTATTATGTCGTGACATAAAATATTTTAAAAATATCCCAACAAAACCCGATTATTGAATCTTAATTTATACTCTAGCAACAAACCAGAATAAGTACAGATATTGTTAGTAATTGTAATTACATAATTAACAACGGTAATATTACCCATATTTGTTGCCAGTGCAGTTAGTTTCAACTCACCAATAGAAATTTCTGTATTAATATGTTGAAGAAGGTTTTATTTGATTTAAATTGATAAAATAGACAGCGCAACCCAAGAAAGAATTTTGAGGAGAATGCTTCGATAAACAGCCTAGTGTGGTTTTAAGATTTAATATATAATGGGCCCTCCTCATCTACCAAATAATGATACATGTACAAAAATACTATGTATATGTTACCGTAAAATACCGAAATTAGAGAATGTCGATATTTTCCAGTGAATGTCGACACATACAAAATACGTTGGTGAAAGACCGAATATTTGGTTATATTATTATACATTCGAACAATCGCCGGTGTATGTCGACAAGCACATACATACATACATACATACATACATACATACATCGGAAAGGTATAGGTCGAACTCATAGGTATAGCCATAAATGAAAATAGAGAGGAAGGGGTAAAGATGATGAAGGAGTTAGAATAAGAATGAAATATAGAAAGATAGGATAGTAGGAAGGAATTCACCATAGCCCATGGGAACCACGGGCATCCTGCATCGCCTTTAATTGATAGGAAAACAACATTACATAATGGAATGACAGTGATTACAATAGTTATACATAGATAATAATCGTCGCGACATAGTTTGGAACACAACAGTGGTACAGTGATTACATAAATAAACAGAAAACTTAAAGAAAATAACTTGTATACAATTAAATCCGCGTGTCGAGCACCGTTTTTACATCTCATGAAAAAATAAAGAACACAGTAATTAACCTAAGATTAAAATTAAGAAAGCAAGTGTACAGCACGAAACAGACGTATAGATGAACAGTATACATACAATTTTCTTGAGGGCAGAAGCCAGGGCACAGGAAGTTTATATGCTTCCCCTGGCGGCTGCTGAAGACACACACTGGTCGTGTAGAAGAACCACAGGAAATTTCCAGATCACCTAGTCCTGGGAGATTGGTTTTAACTAGTCCAGGATTTTAAGGTCTTTCGCAAAGTTCCTGAGAGCAATAAAATTGCTTTTGTTGTTGCCAAATGCACTGAGGGTGCATGGCCGATGTTCCCCACTGTTTATCACAATGTCCTTAAGAGTTTTCCGCTGGTTAGTATAGAGCGGGCAGTGGTAAATAAGATGGCAAGGGTCCTCTTCCTCATTGAGTTTGCAGACACATAGTCCGTCTGTTTTGCCAAGGAACCTTTTGAGGTATGTCCTCAGGTTCCTGTGGCCAGTAACCAGCTGAGTAAGTTGAAAGGACGTGTCGACAAGCACAGAAAAGCTTTGGTGGAGGTCGAAACGACACCAGAGAATCCGATGTCGACAGAAAGGCGAAAGTCTGTCGCCAAATCTTTTGTTCTGCCGCGATTGAAATCACATGGTATCTATTTGTTATACCCTGGAACACTGCTGTTTGTTAGTCTTATGCAAGATTTGCTGGTCCGTGCAACGTTTTCTTTTCTTAAATTTTATCTTTTTATCCTATATCCTAATTTATATTGAATGATACTTTCTGAAGTGATTTCAGGTTAATAAACAAAATATAATACAAATTGTCTAAATACAGTAGAGCCTCGATTATCCGACCCCCTATCAACCGACCCCTCGGTTAACCGACCGTCCTAGTCGGCAAATTTCAAATGTCCGCTAGTGATGTGGCGCTACAATATTTGGCTATGTCTTGGCTACTTTAATATTATTTTTACGTGTTTTAGCTGGCAACACTCATTCGACCATGAAAGGGAGCCAGTATTTAAACGAGGCTTAATTTTCTAATTTTTAACGATACAATAGCGACGATTATTATTTTAAAAAATTTTTGTTAGGCTTAACATCGATGAAAATTCAACGCAAAGTAGGTTAATAGCGATATACTAATATACTAATTACATGGGATATAATAATATACTACACTAATAATAGATTTTTTTATACTTTTCGGTTATCCGCCCTATTCGGTTTTCAATTATCTGACCAACCCCAGTCCCCAATTAGATCGGATAATCGAGGCTCTACTGTACACAAATTTTCCTGCACAATTTCAAAAATTTTGACAAAAAGTACAGGAGTTATTGATCTAGGTCTCTGACTTCTAAGAATTTCACAACTGGAATCGATTTTCATGTATCTAACTCTATTCTGTAGATTAAGGCCAGATAAACGGACCCACTGATTTTCAGATAGATAACCGTGAACGTCTACACGTCTGCTATTTGTAAATTGTATCGTAGAAATACAATTTTTTATCGAAATGATTTCGTTTCATGTTGTGAAGATAACTTACTTAAAAGCAATAATAATAATAATTTGTAGTAATATAATGAATAATATGATGGAAAAATAATAAATAAGATTAATATGTTATGTTAGTATTTACAATATTCTATCAAATGTACTTCAAGTTTTTCTTCTTTATTTCTGACGATTGATAGACACTCCCTAAACAGTTACATGTAGAATATTTTTATAGTGACCGATATCAAAGTTCTATAGAAAAAACAGGAGAATACTTTTACACTATGCACCGTATCAATAATCACTTGTAATAACATATTTATCTTATGTATATATAAGTTATATAATAATAACATTTACAAATCTTTAAATTACTTAATTCTTTGCGTATAGTTCGAATTTTTTATTAAATTAACAAGCACATCGATGACGAAAGTCTTACGTAAATGATAATGTCACTGTTTATTATATGATGAAATCCACCAATCAGTAATATAAATACCTCGTTAAATGTATACACTTACATATATTTTTATTCGAATGTTGCCACTACATATACACATATGTAACAAGTATTTTTGTTGATGCAGGGTGCAGAATATTACGAAGTCACACGTTAATATAAAATGGATAAAAAAGAGAAAAATAATCCATTTGACTCAGCTGGTCTTTTCTCTCGTGCATTTTTCTGGTATGTAATTTCATTTAAACTCATTAAAATTTCAAAGTTAATGTGAGCATAATTGCTAAAGTTCTCCTGTGACTGAATCGCACGCATAGCATTTTAAAAGAATAGAATTAAAAACAAAGTTAATTCTTATGTACAGTACTGTATAGTTTTTTAATCTTCTAATAGTGATTTATATAAATTTCCTATCTTTATATTGCTTTTCCGACTGTTATAGATAACGAACAGAATTTATACTCATCGATAAGAAATTACTCCCCAAGACTTTTATGTTTTTGGAGTGAGGGGACTTTGATATGTCGAAAAATGCATAAAAATTCGGGTTTTTTTTAGGTATGTGTGGGTTTTTGTGTGTGTGAAAGGTCACGCTTATGTTTACCTTGTTCGAAGCTTCATAACTCTTGTTCTTTTTGTCAAAAACTTTTAAAATTTTGCACTGAGGTTTGTGTATGAGTGTGATTAATTGAAGTAAATTTTAGTGGATAAAGTTTGACGGGTGCGATAAATAATGGGGATCGTGTTATATCTCGAATAGGGTCTGACATAATGACGAATTTATTCGTTATTATCATTTAGAATTGTTTATACAACCCATTAATTCTACTCTGAATGTTAAACATTTTTCAATTTTATTATAGATAAGAATATCTATAATAATCTGCAATCTACTTTGTGTGTAGTTTTTCCTATAAATTATTTATTTGTTAGTTAAAAATATCATATTAAACTAAAAATGTTAAAATTATAAAAAACAATTCAGGCACAGTTAAATAATTTAATATCCCGTATGAATTTAAAATATTATTATATAATTACTGTACTGCACTAACGTACTTATGCAGCAGAAAAAAAAAATTGTATATAATACCAGATAAATATTTCGAAAGAATATCTATGTCAAATTTACAATAAAACATAAATACTTGTTAAAAATAATGATTTGGCACAAATAATTCGACTGTAGATATCAACGTTAATCATTTGAAAGAAAATACTAGAAACTTATTCAGTGATAAAGTGATATTGCGAATGTCACTTATAATATAATCAATATTATAAAAAGAAAAATAAGGTTTTATATGATATGTATAATATACAGGAAATTTATAAATTAAAAGTTTAATTTTTAAAAATAAATACTGCATTATTTCTTTTTATTTATTTTATTTAATTTATTTAACTCGTAAAATATTTATCATTTCTATGTTTGTATTTGTGAAATCCGCAAATTTAACGCAGTTATTGGGAAAAAGAAATGTAAACAACTGGGATAGAAAAAACGCTCTCTGTAAGAATTAGATTCCAGGTCACCGTTTATGATTACAATTAGATGCGAAAGTTGACACATAGGTGTCAAGAATACACCGTTAATGTCAAGATATGACAATTATGTGACTCTTTTTATGACAAGCGAATAAAAACTCGAGCCCCCGGAAGCTCAGGGCGATTCGTCATAGGAAATTATACCTGGTGATAGTGCCACCACGACTCTCGGACCTCCATACAGCGGATCCGATCCAGCTAGAGGGAAAAGACATCGGATAGAAGATAGAGAGAACTCCTACCTCTTCCGTACAGACGATGCGCCAACTCTACATTATGCCGAGAGGTATTTACGGGATTTAGAATTTATAAAAGCTCTCTCTCTCTCTAGAACTAGAAATTAGGTCAGCGACATAGATACGAGATTAGTCGCCCATTTTACGTAAATATTATAGCATAACCGCATTTAACCTTAGTATTAATTTCGCCTCCTGTAACTTAAATTTAGTTATTCAATAAATGCTTATTTATTTGTTAAACATCTCTCCTATCTTTGAAAGGACGCCTGTCGTCTTACCGACGCACTCCCCACTCACTTTTTACCTTCCTAGCCATCCAACGGCTTTGAGACCAGGTTTTACCAGCCTGTATAGTGTAGTGGTCATTAGGGATTGTCCGTCTGGCCCTCTGCTTGTCTCACACTGGTGTAAGAAGTGGGGTGAAGCCAACATACAGGCTTTTGATTGGTTAGTCCGTGATAGACAGTGTCCGTCAGAAACAAGTTTGTCCGCCAAAGACAAGTTACTTACGAGGAGACATAATTAGGCGATTCTAGCATATATTAGAGGAGACGTAGAGGGAGAAAATAGTAAAACAGTGTTAGGTAACATTGGGAGTTTCATTCCCCTCTTACCTGCGTTTTCTAAAGCATGGAAATCCTCCAAACACACAAGGAAAGGGTTCACTGCCCCCTCAAAAAACAATCTAGAAAAGTTAGCAGAAGAGATTGACATCCTTAGAAAAAAATTAACAAATCAGCAAAGAAAATCGACCCCTCCAAAAGCAAAATACGACATAGACAGAAAAAAAATTATTAATTTATTATAAAGTTAAGTTCTACTAATTTGTAAAATAATTTTTTAAAATAAAAAGTTGTTGAGTAAATTAAAACACAACAATTTAAAATTAAATCATTAAACAGAACATTTTTAATTATAGATAATATGACATATCTAGAAGGTGATACAAAAGTGTGAAATCCGCAAATTTAACGCAGTTGTCAGAAAAAAAAATTGTAAACAACCCACAGAAAAAACTCTCCTGGTGAGAATTATATCGGAGGTCACCATTTGTTATCACAATTAGCTGGGAAACATAGGTGTCAAGAATGCACTGTTAATGTCATCACATGATGATCACGTGACTCCTTTCCCACGACAAATGTATAAAAGCTCGAGCCCCCAGAAGCTCAGGGAGATCCAAAGGAAGTTATACTTGTTCATGTGTGCATCTTGTCTCCCAAGCCTCCATACAGTGAACAAACGAACGAAAGGAGAAGACATCAGTAGAAGACAGACCACAGCTTCAAACTTCCATACTTATCGCCATACTACAGTTCCTGTGCCGACTGATTCCTACAACCCATTCAACACATACCATTCATTTCCTCATAGAGGTACTGTTATTTAGAGCATTGCAAACTCTCTCTCCCTAGAGTTAGGCAAGTGACATAGACAAGAATAGTCACCATTATATGTACATAGTCTATTATAACCGCATTTATCCTTAGAATTAATTATCGCCTTCTGTAATGTAGATTTAGTTCCTTAATAAATGCTTTTTTTTTAATTTGTTAAACCTGTCTCCTGTCTCTGAAAGGATGCCTGCTGGCATACCAATGCATTCCCCACTCACTTTTTGCCCTCCTAGCCATCCGATGACTCCGAGACCGGGTTTTACCAGCCTGTGCAGTGTAAGTGGTCAGAAGGGATTAACCCCTGGCCCTCTGATGTCTCACAAAAGCAGTCAGTTTTGTTGCTTTAAAATAAAAATAAAAAATATAATAATGAATATTGCATGACTTCAGTTAAGTAAGATTAGGTACTGTTCCTAAGGAAATTGAATAAGGTTCACTAAAAAACAAGCCAGAACATTTGCTTTGGCCTCTCAAATCTGTCTTGAGCAACATCCATATTCACAGAATTAGAGATATTTCACTGATAGATAATTAAAATAAACTCTTAGAGCATATAATTACCTTTACTGTATTACAAATATTTGTTTCTTCAGCTTCTGTAGATTTTAAATATAATAACAATGGATGATTACATAACTTTCTGAGAGCAGTTATGCACATAAGATGATGGCCTGTATCAACAGTTGAAAAAGAAGTCAAACAAGCTCTCACTGATTTGCATCCTAATATTTCAGAATATAATTCAGCTTGTAAAGGTGATGTGGGACAAAATACTACTTGTTCCACTGAAATTATTTAAAATATTTTTTATTTATAACTATAAAATTAAAAGTGATAAAATAATAATTATAATTTACAATATTCTACCTATAAAAAAATGTTCTAAAATATATTAAATATACTGAAAGTTAACTAAAGAGTAAAAATAAGAGAAAATAAGACAAAGTTATAAAATAACATTTTATAGATTTTTACACTTAGACTTATTGTTTCATTCTATTTATCTGTCCAATGAACTGTGAACTACTAGGTAAAACTTATTTGACAATGTGAATTACAGTTTGTATATCTTTTTAAGAAGCAATTAAATTTGTTATAACATTAAAATCTTTACATTATCATATATTATTTATCTTATTTTGCTTAAGCTTTGTTATTTTAAGTAAAAGTTTTCTTTTTCTTTTAAAGAAGTTTACTGTCTTGACTGTCATTTCAAACTTTTGTTTATACAGTAATACCCCGAACTTACGCGATAGGTGGGACTGAGCAATAACCGCGTAAGTCAAATTCGCATAACTCGGGGTATAATTTCGCAATTTGTGTAAAATCCAAGTCGGATGTATGTAAGCTAATAAATGTTCTCATTAATTTTATCTCAACATTTGATTCGTTCATGCTTACAAGAAATCACCANTTGTATGTGGTGGTAGCCCCAAGTCTCCATTTGTGCATAGGGGTGGTTGCGTCTCGATAGCTATAAGGGTGCGGGAGTTATGAATCTAAAAGTAGTTGAAAGTGGCTTTCTATTTCGAATGTTTTGTTCGATTTTTTCGAATTTGTTCGAAATAAATTCTAAAATAAAATTCGAATTGGCTCGATTATAGAACGATTGTAAACGTTCCAGAAACGTTGAAAATAGTTTGTTTGATAAACGTAAAAATTCTCTAATTAGTCTGGTAACGGAGGACCTAATTCTTGCATTTTGTGAAAACGGGTAAGATTGGCTATAATGTAATTATCTTAATCTTCAGTATCGTTACTTTTTGCCCAGCGAAGCGGGTCCTTGCAGCTAGATTCTAGATTACTTACAAAACAGTCTTTTATATATATATAAAAAAACTATATCACATACAAATAAAAACCTGGCGAATCGGGCCCTTGCAGCTAGTATTAGAATAATAAGTCAATGAACTTGTAAAATTTTCGAAGATTTACTGTTATCTAGAGCTAGGTCTAAGTCAAACTTTTTGTCAAAGGCAAACTTTTAAATAAAAATACTTACTTTCTGAAGATAATGATCTTGTATAAGAGGTTCTTGCAAAAG